GCCGCCGGGAGGAGGCCTCTGCGCGGTTCTCTGGTGTGGCTTTGCTTCTCCGCCTTTTCTTTTTGAGATGTATTTATGCACACAAGAACTGGGGTACAGAGGTGCCTTTCCGTGCCTGGGGAGTTGCCCCCCAAGAATCCCCAAGAGCTCGGGCCTCCAGGGGTCAGGCCTGAGCGTGCAGGACCTCCCTGATCTGGCCCACCACAAGCGCATTTCTCCTCGGCCCCCCCCAGGTCCCTGCTCCCGCCCCCGCCCCCCTCCCCACCGTCCGCGGGGTTCACCCGCTCACCTGCCAGCTTTGACGCGCTCGGGAAGGCCCCTCCGTGCACAGGAGGCCGCGCGGGCCCAGCTGCTGGGCGCTGCGAGAGGAGGGCCCCCCTGAGCCCGTGGGGGCCAGCGTGCTGCAGGCCTTGGGGCGCCCAGGCTGCCGCCAGCTGGCCTGAGGGGGCTGGGGTGAGGGTGCCGGGAGCCCAAGGGGGCGCTGTCAGACGCGTTTACGGGTACCTGGCCTGGCTTGTGGGGACGAGGCAGGACGGGACCGAGGTTGGGGGTCCTCACTGGCAGCCTAGAATGGGGGCTCTGGAGGCGGAGGCCGTAACCCTGATGTCTCGCTGGGGGTTAGGGCCAGAAACAGGGACTTGAAGACGACCCGGGAGAGCGGGGGCTCCTGTGGAAGCCAGGAGGCAGATGTCGCAGCTCTGTGGGAAACAGCCGGATCGTGACCAGGCATTCGGGCTCACTCACCCCGATTTGGGTTGCGGAGCAGCCGGGGGGCAGCGGTCAGACAGGGCACAGGGGAGCACCAGAGCACGCTGACCTCGGGTGGCCGGAGCAGGGCGAGGGGCTCACAGTGCTGGGACAAGGGAACCGGCAGGAGATAAATGTGGGTCCGAGAAGGAGGCGGACAGGGCTGTGGGCGAGGGGCAGTCGCCAGGAAAGAGCTGCGGGGCGGTTCGCCAGAGCCCCGAGAGGGAGCCAGGGGACCCCAATGGTCTGTTGTGAATATTTAAAGCGTGCAGAAGAGCTGGGCAAAGAAGGCACCAGGGACACAGGTGTGGCCGCTCTGATGGCCCCCCCC